TATATTAGGGTGTTGCATTGATTTCTACAAGTACATGTCGAATCGTACCAAAATAAGTACCCAAAAAATTCAAGAAACGCTGTAGACCTAAAATGTCGTCTTGTATGGTGTTTTCCCGCACAGCATGCGTACCATGGTGCCCATCATTGCTCGCGCACAGGCCGTATACACGCTGGCCATGCGCAAGGAGGCGATGATTAGCAGAGCTCGACTGATATCGCACGAAATAGAGAGTGCCACTTCCGCAAGGTGTGTATTGTGGGTTCTGCTTCAAGAAGGTGTGCGCCTGTATTATGTAATACGCATCGACAAGTTTGTCTGAACCCGGTGTATAGGTCTGTGCCACTGGCTCTGGCAATGTACTAGTACCTTGCCTTCAAAACCAATGGAACTGATTATTAGTTACATGGTGCTCTGCGGTTCACTGTTGCCGATTAACTATGTATTGTGAAGCTCTCACTACGTGGTGGATTTACAACCCTCTGTCGATGGTGTTAATTTAATCCTGGCTTGCCTCGAGAATGTGGGGCGCGCAAGTCGTACTACACTCCAAGGGCCTTTATTTTTCCCTCGTTTTTCCGGCTTATAACTTCTCTAATGAGGCGGTATCGATCAATTCACAGTGTCTGATCGTGTTTTATAGTAGAAGGCATGCACCAAATATCGACATCTGCACAGCCCAATACCATCCTCAACGTACCCCAATTTTGTGACAAATGTAATTGATATTCTCATATCTGTAACATTATGCTTACCTACCCATTTAGCGAACTTCCTGGCCATTTGCAGACGCTGGGGACTTGGTTGGGGCTATTCAAGAATGATAGTGTACCGTGAAACCTTGAGAGATACAGTACACGGCCAGTGTATTGAGTCGCAAGAGAAAGTAACATATAGTCGCCGCAACTCAAGGCTAACATCGCCTAGAAATACAGTATACTGAGTCAGTGTATAAAGACACAAAAGGAAATTAACATTGTCGCCAGAACTCAAGGCTAGCACCTCATTCAGAACACGCAATAAACATACGTATGATTCACAGTGTGAACCATACAGACGCGGGGTGATCAGTATCGTACACAGCACTTACAGTTGAGGAACAGTACTTCGGGTCGATGCGACGCAATTTGGCTGCTCCTGGTGTCATTGTACACCTTCAACCTCGAAATCACAGAAATTAATGAAATTTCGGATATAACGGTATACTGTCCACTGGCATTGGGGGTGTCGGCCGCTAGCAACTAGGGAGTGTAAAAGAAAAGAATATCTGTCAGACATCTGTTCTTCTCGCAAGTGCAACACGCAACGTGGCTGACATGGGCGGATAGATAGCACTCCTAAACCTCACACCGCAGTTATCAAACGCTATTGCTAGCTGGTCCAGGTTTTTGTTGCCGCTCTTGGCTCGAAGCCGGTTGGAAAGCTCGGAGTGAACCATCGAGATGAAGTATAGGAGTCTATGCTGTCTAGCACACAGGCAGTGCAACACGCTTTACACACATCGAACATAGAATAGGTATAATATATCCTGTATACGAAGCGTCACATCCATCGCATAATATACATCAATTATTAAACATTTACCAAAAGGGAATTGTGTATTGGAACATACAGTGAATATATAGGATGTGTGATATACTTCCGATAGAGATTTTACATTGAATAGAGGTATCTTGTTAGAATTCCAATATGGATGGCTGTGTGGTAAATGACTTCTCTCGTGAAATGGATGAATGAAAGGGTGTAGTTAGTATAGCTTGATTCTTTTTTTCTCTCCATTGTGTTGGGACATTGTATTTTTTTGCCAGCGCATGTGAATAGAATGCAAATTGTCTCCCCCGCCGCTCGTAATAGTGCCAAATACCAAAGCATGAAAACCACGAATAAGACACATTTTCTGTTTTGAATCAGATAGACCAAATTATAACCCTCCGCACTTCGAGTATGAGACGCTATGCCTTGTTTGAAAGAGGACGCATTAGATCGCTAAGGACAAAGTGTATGTTCGGCAGCGGGAGTTTGACAGGAATTCCATCTACATATAATAATTGGATAAGCTTGATTTCGAGTGGCAAACGAGACGCCAGCCATCATCGATGAAACTAATGCACAGGCAATTTTCGACTTCAGACTAACCAAGAATACTACTCCGTGCAATTTGTCGACTTGCTCGGATTTTCATTCCCTCAAGAGGCATGTACAATGGCATGTTCAGAACAAACAATGGTCCAAGGTCAACGGGTGGGTAAGCCCCTTTCCCGTGTCGGAGCTTTTCAGACCTAGTCAACGTATAATTGCGGCGAGGCCCACTCTCTTCGATATGGTCGATTAGTTCCAGACGATCAGCTTCCAGGAGCTTAGCTTCCATATCCGTGGGGTTGGTTCATGATCTCCGCGCAGTATCTGTTGTTGCCGTTGTCACGGTGCCACTCGCCCCGATTTCGCACTTCTGCATTTCCTCCTGTACTACCAGCCAAAAATAGTAATGTGATCTACCTTCTTGGAGTTGTATTTGGGATGTCGGTAGTGACCACGTGTATTGAAGTTGGAATCCAATGAAGCTGGGAACTCGATCATTTTACTGATCTCTTCCATCCTCAAGCATATAAGTTCAAACGCCTGATCATGGGTGAACTTGTTAGTACCACATTACTTTTTGAGGTGTTCGACAACAACAGCATTACCATACTTGGCCAGTGAGGTTGTCCAATCATGATCTCCACTTTGAAGCAGTAACGTTCCATGATTTTCTGGAGAGTCGCAAGCCACTTCGTTATATCACGGGCCTTCACATCTCTTGGCGTTGGGAAATAGTTTATACCCATAACTACATTTCCACCCGTAATAAGTAGTTCTATCTCCAGCACAAAGGAATGAACCTCACTAGGTGCTTCGGTACTCAAAGAGTCATTATAATTCAAAGTCGAGTCTGACCACTATATGGTCTTCAAGATCAGTGCCAATAGAGACGGTGGGTGCCACGAAGCCAAATTGCGAGTTGGTAGCCCCGAAAGCGAGACCGGCTTGTATTGATCCTTGTGCGGGAAACTGTGCTATGATTTCCCTACCGGTAGAATGAGCGACGAAACATCGATTTTCGGACGGCGTTTCTTCAACAGAGTTCAGAGGGGCGACGACCTGGATGGATAGGCTGGCTGCCTTTGGTACGAGCCCGCGGACTTCGGCGAAATAATTGATGAGAGAGTGCGTGAAAATGACACTGTGCAATGCCAGACTGTTGTCGGTATTGAGACTGACATGTGTTATGTACAGTTTGGCCCTTGGCAGGTTCGGATTTGTGTACAGCGCCTACATAGTCATCCTAGATCATGATGCTCGAACTTTATAGCTTACGGCTTATGTTTTTAACATTAGCTATAAAATAGTTTCTAACTCGATGTCAAGCAGAACATCTATCTATAGGTGTTATCACATGGAGATTCCTATCTTCCACATCATATTTGGGACACGCCCCCGAGCGCCTTTGTCGTATATCAAGCAGGTATACTCTCTTCACCTCTCCTGCATAATCTGTGTTATACATACACGTGTACACGTGTCCGAGAAGAGGTAAAATGTGGATCATAGATACATCTATCTACACGAGCATGCTATTACACCATTCAATTATCTAGAATCCACATGCATCTGAAATCCTCATATCAACTATGTACTCTGACATATTCAACGGTTTTTACGCATCTGTTGTAAAAATAATAGATATGCTGCACTGTTCAACCCTATTATATTGCTGTCGGGCTATACTGCAGTTCGAAAGTCATCACCAGTGCCCAATAGACCCCCTTCTCTCCTCTCAATTAACTCATCGGTGCTCGGCAAGACCGCCAAACAATACTAAACTGCGGCCTAACATCGTTGCGGTGTACATCCATACGCTGGTGTCCATACTGGCACGATTGCATCAAATTGTACTAAAATGGAACACTGAGGATCAGATATACGTCCCGTTGTATAACCTGATCAAATAATCCCCCCGGTCCCATTTTAATCAAACATTAGACGTACCCTGTAGTTTCCTGAGGGCAGCGACCTTTACGTAAGTTCGACCGGTATTATATTTCCAACCCAGTCGAACTTAAGTGCCACTCGTTGTGCACACAAAGTTATGATGGATCGCACTAAACATCCTAATAAAGCCACTGAATTTCCACCTAAAAACGTTAAGTTCGCAACTAAATACACTAAGTTTCCATCTAGCAATCCTACATTTCCACCTGACTGTACTGCAATACATAGTCCAACTCATCGCCACTGTCCAGGAAATCTCCAGCTGCCGCTCTGCCATTCACTGAGCCGGTACTAAAGGAGTCAAATGAGAGTGGAAGGCATTAATTGTGGTACAATGCTATCTTAGTTTGTTTAGTGTAACAGCCATTAATAGTGGGGTGTAAAAGCCATTAATATTAGTAATAGAGCGATTGCATGTTGAGCCATATAAAGACCACTCATTGCTTATTGTGTAGTTGCCATAAGCAACTGAACGTAAACTCCATTGATAAATGCGTACTAAAGCCAATGACGATCAAGTACCGCAGTCATGCATTTTAAGGACTAAAGGCCATTAGCTACAAAGTGTAAAAGATAAGAGATTGGTCGTCACCATTTGTCACATCAATTGTCGTTAGCTGTCAGTGTATTCGGTTTTCATAATCTGCCAATATACAAAGTTTCCACGTGCAAAACATCCTGAATCAGCACGAATTGTACTACCATTTGGATAGGTGGATCAGCTGATGCTTTGTCGAATGACATCAACGTACATTAAGATAGCTCACATCTCCTGGAATGACTTCCATACAACCGTATCATTACACGCCACAAGACTACATAGACATATCCAACACTGCGTACGGTGGTACAACACACCCTCATACGCACAATCTCGATAAAAGACATATCTGTCTAAGAGGCACACTCACACTAACATCTCAAATGAATACGTATGGTTCGATGATACAAACTTGCATTCACATTCTCCATACTATACGCATACTCTTTATTACGCGCTGACAATAATAGGTGACGAACAACTCGTATATTTCTACAGCATAAACCATGCAGATACTCATATATATGCATGTATGTGTGTGTGTTTGTGTGTATATAGCAGATACTCACTTGAACTTCATACGGTACACATACATTTTAGCACACACCAAAACAAACGCCTTCCTACCTATGACTTAATGAAATGGCCAGCGCAACACTCAGCATCTCGTCTTCGTTCAGATCTCCGTTGGCATTCATCTGTCCTGCTCTTTTCTCCCTGCAGAGTTCAACGGGAGAGTTGGTATGCGAGGTGCCATCGTACTGTTTAGACATATACATGCATTCATTTTCATTCAATTCCATGATATTCGAGGTCTACCACACAAGCAAGATGAATGAATATTCTCAAAGGGCTTCTAAGGTGTGGTCAATGAGAGTCTAGAGAGTGCTGATCTGTTATGATATGCATTAACATATACGATAACTCAATTGCACCAACTGATAGGACTACTGCGAGGACTTGTGGTGACGCTGAGAGGGCAAACAGTTATACGATAACTCAATTGCACCAACTGATAGGACTACTGCGAGGACTTGTGGTGACGCTGAGAGGGCAAACAGTTATACGATAATGAGAATCCGAGAGAAGTATACTCGATTGAATACTATTGAAGCCCGTGCACGGCTATTTGAACGTGCGTCCATATTATTGGATAGTAAGTGATGCAGACATCTGCAACAATATCTACTTCTAAAATACATCCCTGACGAAGGGATCGCTCTTTCGTTATATATCCATTTGAACGCGATAGTTCGAAATAGTCGTATCGTACAGCTAGACAGGTACGTATGGCTTAGTACTTTATTGATAGGCATGACAGACGAGACACTTGCACACAACACTGAATACACAGACACACAGCACACAGTGAACCGCCATATACCACACCACCCAACAACAGTATCACAGACACACAGCACATAGTAAACAGCAAAAGCGAAACAACATACCATTCATTGCGCGAATAAACCTGACTCTCAATCTCCGCCATTCCCTCATCCATGTTTAGCTGGTAATCCCGCTTAGTACGGTTGTTGGATTTGCGCTCTGCAATGTCTTTGTTCAGCTGGACGCCTTGATTGACCAGTCGTCTTCAGTCGAGAATAAATGTGTGTGTGGATGAGGACATGAGGCAAGTAGTATATAGTGAATGCTGTATACTACATGTGGAACTAGTAGTGGCTACTTGTTTCGTAATTTGTACATGTGCCTGATATCCGGATCATTGTAGAAAATATCGCTGGTAATGTCATTCCCAACAAATGAACTTTTCAAAGATATTTAAGATCAATATACCCTACCTCTTCAATCTGGCAATGTCCATGCTCTTCTGGTCCAGCAAAAGAACACGCAAAGTGCTGCCGTACGTTATGGCTACTTGGGACTGCCCAATGGCCAGGGCACTTACAGGCACATTCCGTCGGCCTCTTATTCTGCCTACGCCCACATCTCTGAGTTTGTCTCCTGTCAACCGACTCCACACCTGTATAGTTGATTCCAAACGAACAGTTGAGTTTGTATTAATTGCACGAGGAGGTGCAACTTGTGTGTTGTGAAATCAGGCGTGCAAGGCTCACATCTCCGAGTCCGTGTCTTGTTGAATGATTCCAAATCTGCCGGGTCATGCGGCAATTCACGAGGAAGTGAGAATTATAAGTTTTTTATAGTTAAAAATGAACGATTGTGTATTATACATACACATACACACACACACACACACACACACAC